TCCTATTTTTATAGCTCCCAATATGTTGATGTATCAATCTTATATATTTTAATACCTAGCCAAAAATATATAAGTATTTATTTTATAAAATAACTTTGTGATTATTACTTTGTGTTGCTTTGTCTAAAATATAATAAAATTATAAAATAAATGTATGTGGCAATATTTTTTTTAAATTGCACGTACAAAAAAAGAAATCATTTGGCTGTTTATCGTTTCGGGAGGTTTTCGAAGGTCTTTCAGTAGCAAATAGCTGAAATAATAAGTTATGACTTAGGCTACATTTCATTGAATAAAATAACGCGAACGAAGCCGTGGTTGGCACAGCTAGTAACAAAATAATATCGTATTATTGCAAATAGTTAGATCACTAGATCTGCCAGTAGTGCCAGTGACAATGTAAAAAAAAGTTTATAGTCAAATAAACTAATCAAAAATATAGTTGAACGTTATGAGAAGAATCATAGCAAACTCTTCATATCAACAAATTTTTACAATATATATTCATATTATGGTATTAATATTTAAAGCAAAAACTAAACAAGACAAAATTAAGGTAAGAAAAGAAAGAAAAGGAGAGCATAAGCGGAGATTGAGAAACATATCAGCATGCATTATTTTATAAATTTACTCAGGACAATTTTTACTTGGACAGTAATGAATTACAGTTGAGGAATAAACTAAATGAATTCTATTTATATTGTACGCAAGCAGAGTTTATGGAATCATTTTCAATTTTTGAATAAAATTTTAAGTTTTGTGAAAGATTTAAATTTTCTTTTATTTCCCCACAAGTAGTCGTCTGGGTCCAGCGACTCAGACAGCGCTCTTTTCAAACAGTTTGGCTTCTTTAGCTATTCAGTTTAGGTAAGATATATGTATATTCTTTTCTAGTATTTAATTGTGTCTAATAGTAGGCAATAGCTACACGCAGTACACGTACAGTTTATGTGCGTTAAACGCTAATCACAGCAACCATAAAAAAATATTTTGTTTTATGGCATGTTTATTGACAAAGGCTATAAAACAAAATTCTCCACAGAAGCGGAGACGTGACCATAAAAGTAAAAGAAAATCCAGGTGGTAATAAAATAGTATGGGATGGTGCATAAACTTGGTATTACGCTACATTTAATTAAAATCCGTAACAGTTAACTGAGCTCAATGATATAAGAAATTAAATAGAAAATATGTAGTGGACAATAACCTACTACAAATATAAAAATACTTTACATATAAATGGAATTAGTGTCAAAGTTGTTTAATCTAATATCCCTGGAAATACCAGGGACATTGGATAGGCAGAGGCACCCTACAATTTTTTTTTTATATAAGCATGAGACTCTGGGAAATCTTTATCCTGTAATATTAATTAAAGAGGCATTCTGAACTGATTACCTTACTTCATTCATTAATTAATTGAGATTATTCATACTTAGATTTTATAATGATGATATTGATGTGATTAGAAACGGTCAAGCTCATAGCGTATACCTGATTTATTAGTTGTGATCTCTGCTTGTTTCATGACATATTGTACTGTTGAAAAAATGTGTCTGTCTGTCAGTCTACGAACCATTTTTTTTTTGCGGTTCCTTTGACGGCCTTGATATATATATTGTAACACTCTCGAGTACCTTTTTGTACGTATATATGTATATATATATAGGTACAAAAAGGTACTCGAAAGTGTTACAATCGCCAGTAAGGTCTATTATCTGATAACTAAATGTACTACCACTGTATATTATAAGCTGCCAACTATATCTGCGTTTTAAGCTTAAAACAATGAACAGACTTTGCTTAGATCATGTACATTGTCATTACATTTTATATAATGAAGTCCCTTTCCGCGTCGCGACTGTTTTACAATTCTAAAAGTACCGTTTTTATAGGGTTTCGCACATGGGTAGAGTGATAGTCTAGGGTAACCCTACTCATTTCTCATGAGTCACTCTATTTATTCATTAGCTTTTGAATAAATTTGATTGAATTTAAAGACGAATGTCCAAGACTTTGGAAAATATCTTAACGACGACGACGTATTACCTACGGCTGTTGTTTTAAAAAAATATATCAATATAATAACGCTGTATGTAAGTCTTCTAAACGATAACGTGAGAGCCAGGTCGCGTTGCTAGTATGTCATATAATTTAAACCACTATTTGTGTCAAGAGCCTTATCTGTCGAACTTGAAGGTCTATCAATTCGAAGGGTCTTAAAAAATGTAACGGTTGATTTAAAGTTAATAAAAGTACCGAGTTAGTGAACGCACTGGTTTGAACTGATGTGAGTAGGTACTTGTCATGATTTTAGATTTAGATTAGAATTAATAAATTTTCATTCAACTAAATGTGAATTACCTATAATGTATTACATTTCAAAACGATTTTTGTAAAGGAGTTACTTGTGCGTTGGCAACATTATTTTACTCTTTCCCTGAGAGTTTAGGGGAACCCTACCTTATTCAGCACTTTAATATTCTCCTAAAAACAAAAAATAATTAGTGGATTGTTTTACTAACATCTAAACTTTCGCATTGTCGTACATGTCGTACTTTAAATTTATTTGTGAGTTAACGGGCTATATTTACAATTATTTAATCGGTACTACATATTTTTAAATTGCCTGACGTTTCGACCAGGTCGCACTGGCTGTGGCACTTTAATTAAAGTATTGATCGCCTATTGATCGCATTAAATCCATACTTATTCTTATTATTATAAATGCGAAAGAGTCTGTCTGTCTGCTACCTTTTCACGCTTAACCGAATTATGAAATTTTGTGTAGAGATAGTTCAAGTCCCGGGTAAGGACATAGGATAAGATTCATTTCAGAAATCATCCTTTAAGGGGATGAAAAGGGGATGGAAGTTTGCATGTGGAATCTATAACCGCTGAACTAATTTAAAGAAATTTCGTATAGAGATAGTTTAAGTTGTGGGAAAGGCTATAAAATAGTTTTAATCCCTAAAATCATCCCTTACGGTGTGTAAAATATTACACCCTGTAAAATATTATAAAATGTCCAAGTAACTTTGTCTGTCAGTTACGCTTTCATAGCTAAACCGCTGAACCGATTTTGTTGAAATTTGGCATTGAGATACTTTCACCCTTGAAGAAGGACATAGGCTACTATATTCCGCGATAACCTACATAAACGCAGGCGGAGCAGCGGTCAAAAGCTAGTTTTGCACAAACAATTAAAATTGTTCTACTTTTAGAAAGCTTATTATTGCACGAAGATTATTTTAATGTTCTTGTTCTTATAAAAGTGGTTCTGGGATTCGTATAAAATATGCGTTTCAGTGACAGTAATAGATGTGTTCGCATTCTGTACACTTAGCATTTGTAGACAGCTGTGTAACATAGATTTGCGTAGTTGCCATACGAAGTGTCGACTTTGCGTGAAATATAAATACTGACATAGGAATTTTGTTAGTCTGTTCAACACAACTATTGTTATTCTCCTTTTATTTGCAAATATCAGAAAATAATTTGTTTATTAATACCGTCTTAATACTTGTATAGACAAATCTTAGCACAAATTGGGATCCATATTGAAAATAGAAGTCTGGCCTGTGGAATGTCACCAAATTACCTTTTCCTTCTGTTTGTCGGTTGAGCTATAATTGTTAACTTGCTTACCGGTCACAAAATATATCTTTGCTTTGTAAAACCACAAGTTATTTTACCAAATTCTGCTTAACTTTGTTGCACTAAATTGTCGCAAACAGCTGATTTATATTAAGGGCTATCTTTTACTACTACTACTAATTGTTTACTGAAGGAGTATCTCCTCTATGTACCTCCTCTTGTGGAATGCAAAACAAATCCATTCTAAATATCTACAACCATATTTTACAAAAACAATAATATATTTATTTGTATCTTGATAATGTTTTACTTCTTTTTGATACAATAGCAATAATGTAATACAGTGTGTTGTTTGCTACAGGATTGCCAGTAACATAAATATTATGACGATTTTTTGTGAATCACTCAAGTTTCTAAAGTGTTATGATGGTGGTTTTTCCGTAGGATCAACTTTCGCAACCGGTGGTGATTGGTAGTTTTTGGTTGATTTTTTGTTTTCGCAATTCTACCTGAATATTTAACATGTTTTTATTTTAATTGCTGAATATTTTGTTTGCTTGTTAACAGAGAAAAAAGCCTAAATAAATCAAACTATCGTTTTGACAACGTTTCGTTTGACCCTTATGTTTCTGATCTAAATTGTAAAGCAATAAAGTTTTCAGTACATTTTATTAACAAACAGATTATACATTTTGCACCTAAGCTGAAATTTACATAAAATGACGATTTGATAATAGTGTCACCAAAGGTAGTTGATATCGTTAATTTTCAAAAGCTTTTAATCGATTACACGATATTTCTTACTTGGCATGTTTAACTGCCAGCAAATAACACAATATTAAAAAACCCCCGCCACAAAAAAAACAGTATAAAGCCCAAACATGGTATATAACCTGTAATTTTCCGAGGAGTTGACTGTCCCGTGGTTAACCATGTCATGGAAATGCCATCAAAGTAACAGAATAACAACCCTTCATCACCTAGAAAGCGAGCTGATGATCTTTAAAATTTAAAGCTAAGAACCATTTTGATCATATTGGCTTTTGAACAAAAAAATCCGCATCGAAATTGGTCCATACGTTCGGGAGTTATGATGCCACAGATAGATAGAGAGATAGCTAGAAAACTCTTTATTTGACCACTACCAGATACACAGGTTAAACTTATAACACTCCTCGTTTTCCGTCGGCGTTTAATTAAATGAGTTTGGTTGTTGGGGGACCGTAGTCTGGGATCGAGTCTGACAAATATATATAGGAAATAATAATATAATAAATGCAATTTGGATAGAATATATTCAGTGTTGATAGAATATTAATAATAATACCCCTTATTGTGTATTAAAGTGGTTTTTTTTTCGGTGCAACAAAGTTTCTTGAGTAGAATATCACAATTCATGGACAATGAAAATGGATTGGAGAACAAGTAGGTATTCAGGCTTCCAGCTGTTCAACACAGCAGTTGAAGGATTTGTTACATTTTAAATAAACAAAGGGATTTAATCACCTTTGAAAGCTAATTTGTTGACTTATATTTATATTGACTTCCTGTAGTAACATTCTAATATTTCAGACCCAACTTCAAACTAGTTGCCAAAAAAGAGTTCGGTGACTCTTTGGATGTTTAATTTAACTTAAAAATGAAGACTTTTAAAAATGTAAAAGAAAATAGTAAATGTATATTTATTTTTTTAAGAGGGGGCAGACGAGTCACCTGATGGAAAGTGACTATCGCCGCCCATGAACGTCTGCAACTCAATTGTAAATATAACTAGCTTTCGACTGAAATAAGAAATAATTTGCAGTCAGAAATATTTGTTGTCTATATAAAAGGTACCTTATATTCTTTTCGTGATCATCGGCTTTTAATGAGGATCAGAAAGTTTGGAAAACTTAATGGTTTTTTTTTTACCAAAACAAATAATTTTGCATTGCACCTTTTGGTCCAATTTATATTCAAATAAATTACATAGACATTTACAAGCATATATTGTACGTTGTATTCTAATTGAGTTAACCATTAGCATAAATATACACAAATAAATAAAATGAGTGCAGAAATGAACATAAAAATACAAAAAAACAAAAGCAGTAACACTAATTAAGACACATTATTTATTTATAACATACGAGTGTAAGGTGTTAAGTCTCTAAGAAATTGTTACACATCAAAATATTGTAAATATCTTTTTAAACTACAAACAATTGTAGGTAAAAAACTTTTTGACATTGACATTTGACAGCATAACTTGCTCGCAGAAGGAGACGGCAGAGTTCCACGCACTCTCGCTCCGCACGATAGCCGCAATCAGGCTATCGAGCGAGAGAACTCCCACTCCGATGGCCGCCACGAGCCAGTAGCGCTAGCGTGTGGACAGCCGTGTCCACGGTCTGGCCATCGCAGTGGTGGCACTCAGGCGTTGGCTCCTTGCGGATCAGACACAGGTGATCACCGAAACATCCTTTCCCAGTGATCACCTGCGTCAGTCGGTATGAGAGGGTCCCGTGACGCCTCTCGAGCCAATCCTCCATAACGGGTCTTACCGCTGCGATGACGGCGTGCCCGGCGCTCGGTTGCCCGAGTCGTTCCCTCCACTCCCCTATGATGACCTGGCGGAGTTGGGCTTTCCGGTCATCGATTTCTCGAATCTCGGGGCACCGACCCAACTCCCGCGCCTCCTTGCGCCACTGATACAGAGCCGCAAGGGCTCTCGCCTCCAGGTCCGACGGTGGAGTTCCGGCCAGGAGACTCGGCGCCTGTGTTGCTGTGGTCGTCAGGATCACCCGTAAAGGGCACAACCCCCAAGTAAAGTCTCCTGCAGGAGTCATTGGGTCCCTTCATCTTGGGCAGCAGCCGCGCCAACGCACGCGCTGCCCCAATCAACTTGGGGACCAGACCTCGGAAATGATATCCGAAGTCCCATCGGCCATCGAGTACGAGCCCCAGATACCTGATCGATGCCGATGCGAGTGCCTCCTACCGTGAGGCTAGATCCCTCAGGCGGCTTCCTCCGAAGCCCGTGGAAGAACAGGGCCTCGGACTTGTGCAGAGCCACCTCGAGACCCAGCAGCCGGATTCGCTCAACGACTTGGGCAACCCCGGCCGTTTCCCTCAGGGTTGCCTCGTGGTGCGTCTTGCCGCGCGCCGTCACGAGTGTGTCGTTCGCGTAGCACACGACGGCGACACCATCCAAGAAGGCACCACGAAGCACCCAGTCGTAGCCGATGTTCCACAAGAGTGGCCCTAACACCGACCCCTGCGGAACACCGCACGACATTTCGCGCCTACCGAGACCGGTCCTACTGGGGTAGACGACGGCTCTCTCCGACAAATATGCCCCGACTATGCGGCGGAGGTAGAGAGGCACTTCGTGATACACGAGCGCCTCCCTGATGCAGCTCCAGGGCATAGTGTTGAACGCGTTGGCGATGTCCAAGGACACCGCCAACACCACTTCGCCCCGGGAGACTGCTTCCTCCGCCAGAGCCTTCACGCACATGATCGCATCAACGGTGGAGCGCCCCTGACGGAAACCGTACTGGTTGTTCGCCAGATCCGGCCTAACCATCACGAGATGCTTGACGAGGCGCCTTGCAATCACTCTTTCAAAGAGCTTGCACACCTCGTTAAGCAACACTATGGGCTGGTAGGCGGACGGTGAGTCCGCCGGGCGCCCCTCCTTTCGGATGAGGACCAGTTTTCCCGTCTTCCACAATTTCGGAAACTGGCCCCGCTCGAGGCATGCGCTGAAGAACCCTCGCAGTCGGGGCTCGAGAGCCTCGTCGACTAAGGCCAGGACCCACGCTCGGCCAGGAATGCCATCGGGTCCCGGGGCGGTGTTTTTAGCTTTAAGCCGTAACACCGCCACCCTTAGTTCCACCCCAGTGACCTCAGGCACGTCGTCGTCATCCACGTTAGGCACCTCGAGCGCCGGAGGCGGAGCCATCTGTGGCGGATTATGCTCCACCACTCGCGTTGGGAACAGGGAGCCAACGACCCTCTCAAGCAGCTCTGGCTGAAGACATCGGGTGAGCGGCGGGGCCCATGGGCGCATCTTACCCCTAACCATACGGTAGGGGCGTCCCCATGGATCCCGCTCCAGTGTCTCCAGCATCTCGCGGCGGGCCTCGCTCTTGGCCCGCTTTATCGCTGCCTGAAGGGTCCTCTTGGCAACCCTGTAGCCCGCTAATCCGCCTCTGCCTACCTCTTCGCGGATAAAGACTTTATATATTTAATTTTTAGCTGATGTATTGGCAGTTTAATAACAAAACAATTTATCAATAAATTTCATACAATAATAAGTCACATTGTGTGAAAGGCTTAGTTGTAAGTTTTATGGAAGTCATAAATTGTTTCCGTAAAGAAGTAACACAATCTTAGATAACTTGCTGATAGTAAGTACGTTAATATATGGCCAACATAAAGGTTTAGATATAAATACTTGGAAAAATAAATAAAGCAGTATAGTTTCCGTTGTAATTCGTTGCAATAAGGTGAGTTCTCAAATTTCATACTAAATATTTTGGTATTTATAGAATTCTAATCGCTACCATCTAAAATCATTGCTTGCATTAATATTATAAAGTGCAAAAGTTCGTAACGCTGTAGTAATAACATCTAGTATTCTCAGACTTTCTTCTTTTTACTTCTATTCGTTGAATAGACTATGTAAAGTTCATTTTGATATTACACATAGAATCAAATCAGTAAGAATTGGCACCCGCGCAAGGAAGATTTATATCCTAACGTTAGATTCACCCAGTCTTCAGTAAATTAGCATACATACTTGTAATAGAATCGTGCCTTCTGTTAAAGATTCATGGGGATTTCTAAGGACTAGCAAACTAATACAAATAGTCACATAGTTTCTGCGGGCTATAGGAAGAACTACAGGATTGATCTTTATGAAAAGAAAATAGTTTGATTATAAGATAATGTAATAGAAATAGATTAATAATTAGGATTCTAAGAAGTACATTTTAATGTGTATTAAAATAAATACGTAGGTGTATAAATAAAGTGTACGGTACCTTATTGGCATTGGTTATAATCGATTTCATTTTTAATGGCAGTGTTTTATCCGAAATAAAACACAAAATTGGTTTATTTAATACTTATTTCACTGGAACCTTTAATTTAAAAAGTAGTATCCGTTGCATTTCTATATTTAAAAATGTAAGGTTGGTTTGTGTACGCTTCAAAACTCAAAAAGTTATGTACCTATTGAGCTCGAATTCTTTGACTAAGAAACAACGCGCTTCCAGCATGGTTTTTATCTATGTAGTGTCATCAAATATAATACAATGCTCGGAACATAGCAACCTCCAGCAACGTTAGGTCATGCATTCGACTATCTGAAGACACAATATTTAAAGTAAATTTTTGATAACTACTGTACTTATAATTAATTAGTTCAAATATACAAACGTACTAACTAACTTAGTGACATCATCAGTATTTTGAAATTATTGGGTTTTAGGAAACAATCGGTAAACACTGGTAGACAGCCGACAAGCACCGGAAATGCCTTCACCTGAAAGCAAGTACTTCAATGTAAATTTTAACCTACTCAATAAATATTTGGTTTCAGATAACACACGACTACAAAAATGAAAACTTTTGTTGCTCTGCTTGCCTTAGTGGCTGTGACTTGTGCCGCCCCCGCTGGACCCCTCGTACAGATCCTCGTAAATGTTGACGGCTCACATCAAATCCTCCCGCAACCATCACCTGTTGAAATTGCTGATGGTATTGATTTACCCGCACCTGCTATTCCAGAAGTAAATGAACCAGGAGTCATTCTTCCTCACCCTGCTATGCCCTTGCCTATCCCTGACGGCATCGTTCTCCCAGCACCAGCTCTTCCCATTCCTTATAAGAAGGCTTAGTTTAGCCAGAACCTGTTTCCATTTAAACTCAAAGTTGTCCAAAAGCATAGACCACATTCTTTCTGTAACAACAACGAACTACGTTTTAAAATGTTTTTACAATAGACTCTCCAATAGAATCGAATAAGTGATGGAATAAATCAAATAACAACAATAAACATGTGATTATTCTTTATAGTTGTTTTTTTTAATAAGCTGGATATTAAGAGAAGCTAATCTTAATATGGAATACATAATTTTAAAATGTCAAGACTGCAAAATCTGGAGTGCTATTGGCGCTGTCGTTGTTGTGTTGTCAGCGTCGCTATATTACCAGGGCGACGCGTCGGTGGATAAACAACAAATATTTCCACTGCTCAGAGATCATTTTTATACCTACAAATCTTTTACAGTAATTAAAAAAAAACAGAGTTCCCCGTTTTAGATATTAATTAATATAGCAGTCATCGGCGTCACACATTTAAATAAAATTGCAAGAATTAAAATTTATTGTAAAGTAATTAAAATACGGACTAGTCCTGTCTGCGTGGGCTACAGAAATGTACGTACTAATCAGCGCTAGTACTCGCAGTTATTGTGCGTTGTAGGGTTAGAAGTTACCATATAAGTAGTTCGAATAGTCTTCGCTAGATAGCGCTGAAGTATATTTTAAAAATCATATTATTATTGGAACGCAGTTGAGTGGATGGGAGCTAGACCGAAAAATGTGTAACAAGGCTTTTTTTCGACACTTTTTTACTATAGCACGAACGCACTTGCTTAGATCTTTTACACTAAGCAACGGATATTAATGCGGTTTTCACCAATAAGGAGAGTGATTCAATAGGAAGGTTTATATATATAATACATGCATATTATATTAGAGAAAGATAAAGGGAGCAAACTACGCAGAATGTTGTCCTGCGTAGTTTGCTCCCTTAGTCGGGTCTCGGTCTCGGCACTGCAAAGAGAGGGAAACTTGAATCAAACCCTGTACCAATCGTTTTGGCCAGTTTGGTATAGTGGGCTAACTTACTTTTTAATTAGAGGCCTATGTCTAGCAGTGGACTATTCAAGGCAGTTGATGGTAATGATGGTGCCATTTGGAAAGGTTGTGCTGTACCAAAGCGGCAACGCCAATTGTTGGCAGATCTCTGAAAATGTTTTCTGTGATTATGATTTATGCACGTTTAGATATCTGTGATTATTTTGATCATTCATTTCATTATTACTTGGACTAGACTGACATCTATGCCCCAGCCCCGCGCACTGGGGAAGCTCTTTAACTATTGCGTAAGTAAATTCGTACTTTGTTTTAATATTATTCTTCTGTTAGTGAATAGTGTTTTACGATTTATTAATGGTAGAGAGATGTTTACTGTTACAATACATATATGATTACCGAATTGTTTAGTCTAGTCCTGGCTGGTTAGCTCTAAACTGGTTCTTTCATTCGAAGATAAGTCTAGACACCTACGTACAAGGTACTTTCAAACATTTTACATCAAAAAGCAGGTAGAAGAGGTGAATATGTCAGTATTATGTGATCGTGATATGTCTGACTTTATAGCGACCTTTCGTTGTCTACTTTCGCATTGCATGTTTATATTGACATTTCCCTAATAGATTCTTTTGACATGTTTCAACCAAAGCATTACTAACTGCTTTTACAAGTAATTGTTAGTATCATGAGAATCGATTAAAAGTATCTGTTCGATAAAACTCTGCTCGGACATTCTTGCTTAAATCAACTAATATACATACTAATTTTCTGCCACTATTATGGTCCTTACTACCTAACATTATTTATACTTGAATACAATAATATTCATTTAATATCAACACTATTATAACTACACTACTATATATACACTATTACACTATTATAAGGAACTCAAATACCAAATAGTTTTATACATTTCTAGGGAAATGTATGTTTGTTTGTGGGACAAACTGCTATTTAGATAAATTTGACTTTAAAATTATTGGTAACGAATGGGAATGGTATAATAGGTAGTAAATACTACGTGGTGATAATGCGATTCATACGTAATTACATTATTACGAGGCCAGTGCATCCCGGTCGAATAGCATTGGTACCATCAGTGGATAAAATTAGCACGTTAAAATTCGGAGTTTCTTCATCTGATACTTTCTTTTTACAATTTTATTTTTTAAAGCAACCATTTTTTACTCATAAAAATCAATTAATAAAACGTAGCATAAGGCAAATAACATTTACACATTTTAATAAATATACAAATACACTTCGTAGTAATACTGTCAGGAAACAAACATATACTTCTGTAAATAAAATATGTGTCACTAATTTGTTTCATTGTTTTTTTTTGTATTTTGTAACTCAACGTATCAAAAATTTATCGAATATCTAGGAATTTCTGTTGATATAATACTTCCTTCATTTCGTGAAATTTCACAGTTGAATACCAAAAATCTTGTCATTTTATAACATATTCAGACAGCGCCAGCGCCTCCGAAAATAACGCCAGGAAAAACAAATTAAACATAACGTCATTGAGACACAAACTTGTGTCTGAAATTGTAACTTCCTTAGCGGAGGTTTCAGATTCGGGCCGACTAAATCTAGTCTATTTCAACCCAAAACAGACGCAGGTCTGTGCGTTCACCGCAAAGAAGATACCATTTGTCGTATCACCACGGTTTGAGAGCACCTCCCTAACTGCCTTAGCCAGCATCGTAATCCTAGGCATCGACATGTCGAGCAAAGGCCAGTTTCGGGGTCACTTAGAGGGTAAGGTCAAAGAAGCTCGGTGTGCTGAACGGATTGAGGCAGTATTTCACTCCGGCCCACCACCTTAACCTCTATAAGGCGCAAGTCCGGCCGCATATTGAATACTGTTCTTATCTCTATGCAGGGGCACCCCGGTACAAGCTACATTCTGGACCGCATCCAACGAAGAGCGAGTCGAATCGTCGATAGCCCAAATATCTTCGATCGGCTCGATCCCTTGGCGTTACGTGGAGATGTGTCTTCATTCTGCAACTTCCGCTATCGTTCCACACGGTAAAATTTTCATCCTCATCACCTGGATTGTTGGCGCTCCACTACTGTGCGCTTTTCGAGACACTTTTTGCCTCACACAACCAATCCGTGGAACGGGTTATCGTCGGTATTTCCGGACCGATACGACCTTTAAACTTTCAACAAAAGAACGTGCTCCTTCCTAAAAGGCCGGCAACGCGTTTGTGACTCCTGAGTTGCAGACGTTCATGGGCGGCGATGGTCACTTTCCGTCAGGTGACCCGTCTGGTCGTCTACCGCCTCTAACATAAAAAAAACCGAGTAACTAATGTTTTTGTGATTAATGATTTAAATAGTACTTTGTTTTTAATGTTTGATGTATTAAGGTTCGGAGTAATGCATAGATGACAATACCGTAGTGCTAAAAATTCCTAAGCTCAGGCCAGCTTTTTATTCGCACTTCAGCAAATAAGTGTTTTACAAATTTTCGTAATGTTTCAATTAAAATTTAACAGTTCTACTACGCAAGTGCATATATGTAATATATATAAATATTAGAACCAAAGCAGTTATTCTGTACAAATGAATTCTTTACATAAGGTTACATAAGGAAGTTTTAAGCAATAGTAGACATTCCCCATCTATACAGTCCGTATCACATTCGATCTTATTGGTTGTTTATTTAAGCCCCATTTTGAAACCGTGTACAGATAAAACCAATGATGCAAGGTACGGGAGTCTATAAATATGGGATGACTCATAACGTCTAGACGTAGTTCAGTCCAAGGGTTGAATGAAAAATAAACGCCGTTTATACTTTTTGTTTCATCGGATGACGCAGGCTCTAAGTTTGTTGCGATTTAAATGAGCTTCGCAGGCAGAGACAGTGACGTCATTTGAGTAAAGGCTAAAGGACTACGTGCACTATAAACATGTTTAACACGTTTCTAGTGAATTATATATGGCGGAAAACTTTGTATTAATATAGAACCTTCAACAGCAATGCATTTGAATACTAAGTACTATTATTATGGATATCTCAATGATCATTAAAATAGAAAGCAATATTGAAACCTAACAAATCGCTTTTTGGTTATTTAAGACACTTTAAATTTCAAAAATTATCTAAATATTTGTAGCAAAAGAGGTTGGTAATCGGGCTTTCCGCCTCATTACAGTTTACCTGGTTAGTGTAATTATTATACGCGCTCAAACCTATGATGGCTGAATCCTCAGGTCGAGTTGCACGTTTATTCTGCCGTTAAGTAATTTATTCATCTAAAATTCGATACATAATAATCTAAAACAGATTCCTGTGGCCAGTCCACCAACATAATTTTACATGTTGTCTAAAGATATAACAACACAAGTTTTAATTAACAAAGTGTATAATCGTTAAAATAATAAATCTTGTATGTTAATTTGTTGTTGTTATAAGAAAATTAATAATGATTTGACCACAGTTTAACATCTTTAAACACTGAAGATTTAAATTTGGAGTAATAAACTTTATGTCAAAGTGAAAGTTGCCTTATGAATATGGAAAATTTTGCCAAGCTATCCATCTGCTTGTGGTTGAATTAAAAATTGACAGTATTTACATATAATTTAATTTCAATTAACCAAATGACAATTTCTATGAAAGTTTTGAATATAATTTCTATATACACACTTAGCTTACGCTTGAACCAGTGTAATTTTTCAGTTGATTTTCGGATTTTAATTTACACAACAGTTTTATCAAAATTCGATTTCTGTTCATTTTATGACCACATCGTGTTATTAAATAAAATATAGCGTATATCACTTGTCAGTGACTTGGCAGGTACAAGTTGATAGCAGCGGGTACCGTGTGCATACATAAAGCTACGATGCTGGCAGCCATCCACCTGCATCCTTTATTCTTTTTACTCTATGACTAATATAATTTTTACTGTTTGTTACTTGATACGATAACGTGAGTTGCCATAAAGTAAATTTATTTCTTAATTATAGTTATACGCGAGAGCAGCGGTTG